GTCAAGTGCTGGTGACATACTAGCCTACTTTTGTTTTCCCTGTAAGGCAGTATGTCATGAGAATATTTGTGTATCTATATGTTTTACTAACATGTTACATAAATTAAAGATGCAGGATTTGCAGTGGTGCTTAGGCATGGTGACTGTTTAATCTTTGATCCCACTGAGCCACATTGTATTTCGTCCAAGGCAGTTTCACGAGACATTTATTGCACATCTTTCTATTGTAAGAGTGCTTTGATTGGTGGCAATGACAACTCAAAAAAGCTCACAGCGGAACAAATGGCATTTGTAGAACAAGAATACCCGTAATGTAGAGAATTTGATTCATTACTGATTTGCCGTTTCAATGACATTTTGCCACCATTGTAAAGACAGTACCTTGGACATAGACGTTGCTGTTCAGAAGTAGCATAAGCAGGTATTTTGATTCTGCCAGGTCTTGGTTCAGTTCAGTTTGTTGATGAGTTTTGATCCCAATCCTATCTCGCCATTGGTAGATTGACATAAGCTTGGCCACAAGTTGACGGAATTCTTACCAAGACAAATGTAGACATAGCTCCTTTGTAGTATCATAGGTCAGTACTTGCTTCGGTGGGACTTTGAAAAGTAATGTAAAGCATTCACAGAATTATTTTTGATGACAGCAGAATGCCAAAACATCGGTCAAAACTTGGTGGAAAGTCAAGACATATAGACATAAACGAAGATATTTCATAGTCTCATAGATCGGTCACTTGTGTTGATGAGGTCTCGTTGTTTTGTCAAGGTCTCTTTCCCGTCGCCATCATTAAACGCAATTTGGAAAGGTCTTGAATCATAATGTGGTTGGGGAAAGGAAAGTCGACCGATTGCAGAAGTGCAACCACATTTATTCGATCTGTCTCATCACTGCGCATAGAGCGATATTAGATTTGTGTAAGAAACTTGTATGGAGGAGATGCAACGCCTGTTAGAATAAAGCAGAATGTGCTCTATCATGAGTGCGTTTAGCGTTCAGAACAAACTCTCTGCAATCTAAATTCGTAATCGACTGTACAACACTTTCACGACAATAGTTCTCCTGTGTCTAGGTATACTTTGAGTGAAATTGTTCCTATTTGATTAATGTTTGGCTTCAATCACAAAAGTAAGTTCAATAATTTTCCCTTGGAAAATCCCTTGTTTACAGAACTTGATTTGACCTCTACGACGATTCTATGTTGGATGCAGTACTTTGGGACATCTTGTATTATTCCCTATTGCATTGTACACAACATTGATATCTCGCTTGTATAGGGTCATTCCCTTTTTGTGTGGATGTAGATTGTCCGACAGACTTGCGTCCGGCATACTTGCGTCAAATCCCGACATTACAATCAAAGTCCGATTGTACGTGTCGAAAACTTTGTACTTGAATAGTTTCTTTTTGGAACGTAAAAACTCAGATTTCGTCATATCCCAACACACTCCTGCCATTGTGACAATCACCATTGGCAGCAATGGGACATGCTCTCATTCACTGTTTGTTTTGTTTTGTATTTTCTTTTGAACATATACATACTTGTCTGACCTAGTCCTGTGGACCAAGAATCAGATCCCTGAACTTGCAAAACTTCTCACCTTACAATGGCTTAGTCATGAAATCCGCAATCATATCGTCAGTTGGACAGTATTTGACCTTAACATTTCCTTTCTCAACTTGATCTGTGATAAAGAAATAACAAATATTGATAGCTCGGCTTCTTTTGCCCGCGCACTTGCGACCATTCTCTTCCAGTAGAATGGCGCTTTTATTATCCTGATACAAGATATTCTTTTCGATCGGATACCCTTGCCACTCCATGAACAACTTTGTCCATAGTATCATCGTGACAACATTGTCAACAGCAATCAGTTCCTCTTCCATACTGCTTCTGCTGTTTAGCTTTTGCTTCTTCGACATCACTTGATCCGCACCTCCTCCAAACGACAGAGTGCCGCTAGTATGGCTCTTGAAATCGGGATGCACCGCAAATGATACGTCGATCATCCATTTCATGACTCGTAGTGATTCTGCGGAAAGTGTCAGGTGATACAACGATGTACGAAACAAATATTGCATCATGCGAACACACTTCTTTCAATCAGACTCTGTAGGTTCTTGAACTCTCGAGGCAAGAATAGTATTCGTTGGATGGATATCCAAACGAGCTCTCTTAGAGACATAAAGTCCCCTTGCAACAGTAGTATGCAAGATTTGACGGTACTCAGCATTAAGTAACTTTCCTTTCCCAGCTTCCAGTAAATCGTTACCAGCTGGTGTTTCCTGCTTTGAATCCTTGTTGAACTTGACAGGAAAATCTTCCAACATGTTCTTGACATAGTCGTCCATGCGGATCTTGAGTTTTCCTTTCACCGAGAAATCCAAAGTCATTCCAAGATATCTGTGTATCTTTCCTCTGACAATTTTACATGGCTGGATCGAACCATATCTCATGTTCAACCACTCAGCAAATTCGTCATTTACTTTCGGATCCATGTGACTTGACATAAGATCGTCAACATGAAATCTGATAGTTTGCTGTTTTTCATTAACAACTTTGTTAGCAACACACGGGTCATACAGATTGAAAACAAATCCCTTTGCCTCCAAATCACTTTGAAACTGATTATAGAATAGGAGGCTCAATTGCAACATCCCATATATAGCACGTAGTACCCGCACATAGATTACTCGCTTTCCGTTCTCTAATACAACGTATTTGCAATACTCTGGGGCCATGTCAATCAATATCTGGACCATCATGCCAGTGATTTTCATGTAGACACGATCTTCTCCTTCCTTAGCTTCAGGCATATAAGTTTGAATGAAAGCGTTAGGTACGTCCAGCGTCATTACATCTCTACCTTCGTGTGCATCAATAACACAAGTAGTGGTGATTGCTTCCTGCGAAGCAGTTGGACTTGCAGTGTCCACTTGCGATAACCGTTCACAAGTTCCATCGCCTCGGAATACTAGGCGACCTTTAATTGTCTTTTCGAATTGCTTCTCTGCGAGTAACATCATCGCTGAATGGGCCTTCTTTCGCTCAGACGCGGTCATGTCCTGAACAAATTTGGGAGTGAAACAATCTCTCAGGAGCATTTGTCTCAATTCCTTATCCACAGCATCCTTTCCATCATCACCAAACTTCTACAGTCCTTGGTTGATGTAATACTGTTGAATGAAGTTCAGACCTTCATCA